TCTTATCTTATCTTATCTTATCTTATCTTATCTTATCTTGTCTTGTCTGTCTGTCTGTCTATTCAAAAACAAAAAACACAGATCACCAAGACTAAAAATTTATTTAAAACTTAGCTTTCGCCAGCATCTGCTGCCATCGTCAGAGTTTAAGCCAGGATTGAGGAACACGTTCTTATAGTTTCTGCAAAGCCAATTGTCTGGCTAATGAGCATGTTACGGGTCTATTCAGCTCCCGCCCTCCCGTAATCAATTGCCCCGTTCTTATTTCTGTCGGGCTCATTGACAGCTATCTGTCTGTCTGTCTGTCTGTCTCTATTTATATCCCGCTTTTATTATGTTTACAAATAACTCAAAGTGGCGAACATATTCAACACACCTTCTCCCTCCTATTTTCCCCACAACAACCCTCTCAGGCGAGTTGGATTGAGAGTGAGTGACTACTAGCCCAAGGTCATCCAGCTGGCTTCCATGGCTATTTTCAGAAATTTATACTTGTTTTATGAGTCATGACTTGTTTCAATAATGCTTATCATTATATTTCCCCCTCGTCTATTTCTGGTTTTTGTGCTTAACCTGTTTCTTGTGATACCAACAAAGGAAATGGAGAGCACGAACAAGAAATCGACTGCAAAAGCCATGTTTATATTGCTCATCTGCAAAACTCAGTTTTGTTCAATAAGTATAAATAAAATGAATCTCAACTTAGCATTATGAACAAATATAGCCATATAGAACTAGGTAATTTTTTTGGTTTGGGATTTCCCAAACTACAAAAATAAAACAAAAAAAAATTATAGCATCAAGATGACAGCGTAGGGCAGAATCAGTTCCTCTCCTTGTACAGTCGTATTTTATAAAAGAGCACATTGATGAATCAAATAAAATTATCTCCAGGTTTAAATCATTACTACATATCTGAGCCCTCACCATACCACACTTTTGAAAAGTAGCAAAGTTAATTTCCAAATAAAGGAAATAAAAAGGATAAATTGTTACAGAATGGCTTTCCTTCTGCTTTTCTTTAAGAAATAATATGGGAAAATTCAAGGGAACTTCAGTACAGATAAATTTGTCACTGGACTGTTGCTCTGAAATACTTCCATTATATTTGAAAATCATAATATTTCAAAGGGCAGAACACATCTGCAAATGCTAAGGGACACGTGGTAGTCGTATGTTAGTGGTCATTATCTTCCTGTCATTTCAATAATTTTATGTCCTTGACATACACAGACTTATACAAACTTATAGTTATTCATCTCCAATACATGATAAATTCATGATACATGAAAGGATACACTAAAAATACATCTGCTAGATACCACAACCTAATTATTTGTTAACAGAATCTTACAGGAGAGCATCATGACTCTAAGTATCAAGGCAAACTTAGCATATTATTGATACATATATTTTTAAAGAAGGAAAAGGACACATGGGGCCTTTAGATTAGTTCAAAAGCTATCTCTCAGTTCAGACATATGATAAGAGATACTATCGCTTTCCCTGAAGTCTGCTGCTTGGGAGGGAAGGAGGGAGAAAGTGTCCAAAAGAAATACACCACTTTCTTCAATATTGCTTAAATGCAATCTCCACAATTTCAATTACCCCTGAGGAAATGCAGCTCTTAATAAATTAAAAAGATTGCCCATCTCTTCGTTAAAGACTTCTTATTAACATGATTATGGAATTAGCATCTCTAGGGACCTATATCTACATATGTTTATGTCGTACTAGGTTTATTATCCTTCGGGGTGGTAGAAGAGTCTTGACTATAATAACTGCAATACGGATTCATTGTATAGTCCTACGGAGGCCTTTAAACAGGGTCTGGGCAACTATCTATTTGGTTTGCCAAACTGTGAATTAATGTATCAAGTAAGGGATTAGATTAGGTCTCTTCCAATGTTCTAGATAATTTCATACAATGTGCTACTAAAAAAATATCATTCCTTCAGCATTTTACATGAGCCAGGTCTACTAGTTACTATATGGAATAACATTGATTTTAGTGCTACATTTTTTGCCTCTAGTGATCAACACTGGGTACTAGTTACTTCCATAACTGAGCCAGGAAAGAAAAAACAACAACCATACGACCACCTAAGAATAATTCACATTTAAAAGTAAGTCATTTAGCAACAGTTATCAATATTTATCCCATTTTTACTTTGTTCCTGAAGTCCCTGTTTTCTGGCCAATCTTCATATTCAGTCATTCATTTAACATTATAAATCATAACATACATATAACGAAGAATTAAAAAAATCAGGAAAAATATTAAAACAGGAGCATGAAGTGAAAAGAAGCAAACTTCAGACAGCTAATTAAAATTATTCAGTTTAAATATCAACATCTGCAGCGGATCATATAGGATGGTTCAGAAAGACTGAAAATGGTAATAGTTCAACTAATCCAGCAATGATAAAATATAGTTAATCTGGATTACAAAATAACTGATCTATGAAAATGCTGAAGTGTGCTGTTCTAATACCGTTTATCACCAGCACAGAAAAATGGATCCTAATAAAAGGTTCACCAGACAATTTTAAGCAAGAATTTGTTTCAAATTTGGACAAACAGGCCATCAAGATCTTTTTAATTTTGTTACAATTGTTTTAAACCTCTATAGAGGTCTTTACCTTGCTCTGACCACCTATGGAAGGTATCTCTTTGCATTCCACAAGGAACTTCAGAGCCTTACAAATATAGCATAACATCAGCTGTTCCACCATGCAAGCTATCCAGACTGATTGATGCTAATTCAGGATTAAGTCTCACTGATTTCAACGGATATGTACAGATTAGAGTTTATAGAGTTGCTGTGTAGTTTTGCTTTCACAAGCATATATAATAATAACTGCATTGTGCATCTCATTACACTCACTAATACACTCACGTACGGGCGTCTTTTCAGGTTAAGCATTAATTAAGCCCTTCAGCCAAGCACTCATAGAGACAACTCCTTTGGACTTAGAAGCAGCCTTCGACTTACGTCTGTCTGTTTAACGACAGTTCAAAGTTATGACCTGTACTTGCATTACAACCATTGTACCACATCCGCGGTCACACGATCACAATTTGGCGTTTGGCAAATGGCTCACATCTATCACTGGTTGCAGCATCAGCAGCATCATGTGGTCATAATTTGGAACGTCTGCTGAGGTTTGGAAAAAACGGCCACAGGGGAAGCTGGATTCACTTAAGGACCATAATGATTTGCTTAACAGCCACCACAAAAATTGTTAAAAAATCAGATCTGACTTGACCTATGACGAGAACGGCTTACGATGGAAATTCCAGTCCAAACTGAGGTCATAAGTTGAGGATTACCTGTATTTTTTTAATATGCAGGTAGTCCTCGACTTACGACCGTCATTGAGCCCAACATCGTTGTAGCTAAGTGAAACGTTTGTTAAGTGAATTTTGCCACGTTTAAAGACCTTTCTGGCCACAGTTGTTAAACGAATCACTACGGTTGTTAAGATAGTCGCATCGTTGTTAAGTAAATCTAGCTTCCCTATTGACTTTGCTTGTCAGAAGGTCGCAACAGGTAATCGCATCAATCCAGAATACTGCAACGGTCATAAATGTGAATCAGTTGCCAAGCATCTGAACTTTGATCACGTGACCATGGGAATGCTGCAGTGGCTGGGAGTGTGAAAAATGGTCATGTCACTTTTTTCCAGTGCCGTCGTGACTTTGAATGGTCAGTAAATGAACTGCTGTAAGTCAAGGACAAACTGTACATACTGCAATCTGAATTTCAGTGTACTACGTGCACATCTGAAGCCATTTAATGGCGAAGATTATTACCACGGCTAGTACAAACCTTCACTCATACCCTCCGAATGTAAACAAGGCTTATTTATTTGTGTCTCCATTTGAAAATAAATGTGTTCATCCAGGAGCAAATGTCAACTTATTTTCTTAAGCTATTGAAATACTGTTTTTAAAACTAAATAGGCTAATGTTTAGATGATTTTGCTGAAGAGTATCCTTGTATAGATTATATGCCTGGAGGCTTTTATTTTTTATTCTCTTTTTATCCTTGTGGGAATGTTTTTAAATAATA